TGTGGAACCATTTGAAAAGATCGACCACGAGCATGTTACTGTAAAATGAAAATAAATGTTCTTCTGTGCTCTGATTAGTAGGCAGTTTTCTACCCTAACTTGAAATCATCTGTTGACACTAACACAATGGAAGATAGCTCCTAATGAGATTTTTCTTTCATGTTTGTGGATTTGATATGTTTATGGATTCTGCCATGGATTAATTTAAATATATCTGAAGTTTGGTCAGCGTGAACATACCTTCAGTGCATGTGGCAAACAGAATTACAAACAACAATAGGTATTGGGGAAAAAAAAGGATTGTGAAATATTTTATTCTTCATGAAACTTGTCTCCAAAAGACCTAAATCCTTGTGTTCCTTGAATGTGAAGACCGAATGAAGCTGCACTCTTATTTGGAAGCACAAAGGTAAGCAAGTAGGTATGATTTCATATCTTTATCCTGAGTTTTTCAATAGATAATGACATAGTACTTTTTCTGCAACTTTTTATAGTTACAGGAGTAACTGGGGGTTGGAAGAATATGTAGCACATACCAAATATATGGCAATGCCAATTGCCTCCAGGATTTTCTCATCTACTTCTTTGAATGAATGAATATATGAAGATTCAGCACGGTCTGGTCTTATGCAATAATAAATAGCTTTTAGTAGAGAAAAAATCTGTGCTGTTGCATGCTTCACAATTTCTACAATATCTGTCTTAATAGTCAAGCTCTCCAGGATACTGTGGACAATAGGTTTTTGTTCGCTGACTTTCAAATACATGAAACATCGCTTTTAATTTATTTTTGTGTATTTAGTGCCTTCTATGTTTAGACTCCATTGTTGTGGGTGTGTGAAAAGTTTTAAGGGACTTACTTTGAAAGAACATCTGACTCAGCTTCAAATGTAAATAATAATCTTTTTGGGGGGTGTTCAATTGATCTTTTGAGAGGTTGAGTGAGACTTGTCTAATAGAATCTGTAATACCACGTTGGAGTTGTGACATCCCGATGAAAAGCTCCTGACCTGTTTCACATTGACTTGAACAGTGGCAGAAATCTGCAGTCCTCTGGGTTGCTACAGCAGATGTGCTGCAGCGAAAGGGAAACTGGGCATGGGACACAGAGCTAGAACAAAAATACCCAGAGCGAGCTCTTTGTGTTCTCCTGGAGAGATGCAGCTGGTGGTTGCCGAGTGGGACAGAAGGCAAGTGGGACAGGTCATGGGCTGTGGAAGTACCAACGCGTAACGACGCAGTGGCAGCTCAGAGGTGCACCACGTGTGCCTCATCCATTGGAAACACGCTCACGTTGGAGACTTGATTCTTTCAGTGTTACGGAGGCGTTTCATCGGCGGGTTTGTAAAATTCTGCACCTGTACATGGGACAACCATATGTAAGATGCATTGCAACGCCATTTTATTGTATTCAGTGTGAAAATCTTGTCAAGTGTTTACACTACCCACTGATCAAAATGCATAGATAAACCTCCTGCAGAGAAGAACCATTACTGTTTCTCACTTAAATCTGAAGGTTGAAAGATGCTGGTGATGTGGTGACATCATGCTGTTGTGATACTTGTTCTCCTTTTTAGGATCTGCTGTAACTACACCCTTCTGTGGCTTGGTTAGAGCGCGGAAAGTACATTGGAGCATAGAAATAATTTATTGTGACTATATTACTGCTGATACTGTTTGGATATTATTTTTTTTTTATTACCCCTTCTTTTCAATGGGTCTCTTTTTGAGTTGAAATCCATTCATCAACACTCGTGCCCAATGTGGTATTTGTATATTGGTGAGGATTGAGTTACGTTTCTTGAAGAGTAGAAAAAAAAAATCTCTGTTCTGCCTTCAGATTCAGAGTGCAGTTAAATGAGTGGTGGAGTAAGGAGAGCCTTACATAGATGAAAACTAAAATAATGGCAATAATTATGTTGTTCTAGATGTGATCCTGAAATTTGGATAAACTACCACTTACTAGTGGTAGTTTAATCCTTGAAAAAGGATTAGAAATACATATAGCGTACAGAAAAAAGGTATTTGTGCTTCTTAGCTGTGTTCATATGCCAAAGCCAATTTCAGAAACTGTTTTTAGTATTTTTCTGCACTTTAATCCATCAAAAACATTAGCTTGCATTAAAATTCTTATATTTTTGTCAGTCCCAAGTAATTGTCATTTTAGCTGTTAATGTGCTATTATAGATCCCATTTTTCTTGCTTTCTTCTTTCTCAGTGCTAATTTTCCAACCCAGATCATTACTTTGAGTGTGCTGGAATAGCATTCCATGCATATTTTTAATTGTCAACAGGTTTTTCTGAGTTTTCAAGTGACAATTGAAAATAACGTACCAGGGTCCTTTATTCTAATATGTCATTGTTGCAATTTTTAATGTTTTTATTAGTGTTGAGTTGCTTTTGCTGCATTTAGTCTTGTGACATTTCCTTTAAACTGTTACCATACAACTGTGTTGCAGCTCAAACACTTTCCATTATAGCAATATAATTCTAGGTTATATTGAAGAGAAATGTCAATGGTATTTCTTCTAGTAACAGTAGCTATTGTGTAAACTAATAGTATATAGAGATCCTGCTAATGTAAGATTATCAAGAGATAAAAACAACTGCAGTTTCAGTTCCCTCAGTAGGGACTATTCAGCTGGAATATGTTTTATTTTAGAGGCTTTTTGGTATTTATTATAGAGCATATAAAAGTAACCCCATTGTAATAAAGATTCGTAAACTAACTGAAGGTTTCAAATTGCATAATTGCTTTAAATCACTTTAAAAAGGATTTTCTTTTCCAGAATCCTACTTTGAACACAAAATGTTAGCCCAACATGGATGAGGTATCTATTTATAACCAAGTGTTTGTGTGTAATGGTCAAATGCAAAAAAGAGAAAGTCGAAGTGTGGGCAAGAACAACTCTCAATTTTTTGGAGCTTCTCTGGGAACTCCTTGCCATGCCACGCAGACTTTGGGGCTGCAGGCTTTCCTGGCCATTCTGGTGTCAGCCTGTCTCCTGGATCACACCTTGGTACTTGACAGACAGTCTGGGGTGAGGTCCGACCGGCACACAGCCCCAGCCTCCTGTCCAGCTGCACCCATTTAGAAACACAAAGAAACAGGAATACGTCCAAATGGAGAAGTAAAACTGTCTGGCTGGTGTGTCTTTTGAACACTAGGTGCTTCATTCAAGGCAGAGTCAACAGCAAGTCAAATCCACAAGCTCACTTTTTCAGCCTTAAAAGGGAGCAATGGATGGAACATGACCTATTATGACCCACAACAGAAATTAACAAAGTCAGTGGTGAGAAACCATTTTAATGGTTCAGCACTCCACAGAACTCTGCATTGCAAGTTGTACTTGATCAAATGGTGGAGAGTTGTTCACGCAAATTAAAGTCACCTTGTCAGACTGACATACAGCCATATGGGATTATTCACAAGTTAAAAATAAAAATAGAAAAGGTCAACATTCACAGGTCCATTGATTAAAGGGAACAAATTAAACCTCAGATACGTTGCATACATGGTTTCCTTCACCCTCGGTCTTTTATTTATGCCTATACATGGAATAATACTTTCCAAAACACTTCTGAATTAGCAAAAACAATGAAGGTTGTGCACTCTAGTTGTGTTCACAGCAAGTTCATTCTTGCGAATGATGAATCGAGACAGTTCCTCTGTCTCTTTAGCATCAGTGCACAGGGATGGCTCCAAGTGCTGTGTTGGAGGAAGAAGAAAAAAAAATACGGTGGCTTAACACACACACAAAAATCTTCTTCCATTCATCATTGGCAGAATAAAACAAAAACGTCTCTTGTCCAGGGTACCTTGCTAGATCCTCTCCAGAAGAGGTATGTACTGTCACACATAAACGCGTTCTGGGTCAAAACCAGACGACAGGGGGTTCTGTAGGATCCGCAGGTTCCTGGGGAGTTGCCTCGATGAACCAGGGCGCTTCAGTGACCCAGACTGAAACGTTGGCTCTGCTCAAGAAAAAGGGCAGTTAGAAAAGTCACCATCAAGGGTGATGCCTGTAGAACACCCTCCTCTCCTTGCTTAGTGCAGCGTGCGCTCAGTGCAGAACAGAAAAACTAACACCACCTACAACAAAAGCTTCAATGCCTGACTAGGAAGTGATCTGAAGCGCGCACTTCTTACTCACTTCCAAACAGAAATATATACCTAGTCTATAGAATTGCCCTCCCACAAGGAACACGCACGTGGATATACGCAATGCATTTACACAGTAATGTGCAGAAAGAGCCTGTGCCTATATGGACCTCAAAGCTTCAGCTTCCTACCCACTTAAAAGAGGAAGTTCACACAGGTGCTGACATTTAAGGTCCGTGAGTCTTTTCTTCTCTCCCCACCTCCCTACCCTCCCAACACTTCTTGGTTAGACAGCTTTCTGAGAGAAGGGAGGGAACCAGCTAAGGAGAGTGCTGAGAGAAAGAGGCCCCTGGTGAGCAGAGCACTGGGCAAAGCACAGCCCAGCAGAGGCCCAGCCACAACAGCGGAGTCTCTGCTTGTGCCACAGTTGTGACACGCGTCCAAAGTGCTCCCGTGTTTCTGTCTAGGAAATTCTGAATTCGGATGTGGGCAGGTGCAGAGTGCACTGAGCTGACTGGGGGCAAAGCCAATCTGCACGTGCCGTAACAGCCATCTGTGCAGGACCTCTGGATGGCTGGCAGCCCAGCTGGATTACCTCCTGTTCCCATGCGGCTGCTGCCTGGCATTTCTTGAGATCCAGACACATTCCTTTTTCTACTTTGACAACACATCTCCCCAGAAGAGGAAGAACCCAGAGGAACAGCAATGTCAGGTGTGGAATCACGTTGCGTGCCAGCTTACACGCCTGCAGCCATGGCAGCCACACTTGAAAGCTACGGGCCTCATGCATTACTGACAGAAGCAACACGTGCTTAGACACAGTGAGAGAGAAGTTATCTACACACTGTGCTTTATTTACAGCCTGCTAAACCCTTGGAATGAAAGAAATATTTGACACTGCTTTCTTAATATTTTGCTAAGTCCTTTGCTACCAGAGCACTCACTGGATGTACGAGTGCAGGCCTTAATGCAGCAGGTAAAGGCCTTGCCCTCCCTTTCTGCCACCCACCAAGAGCATTCTCAGCGCTGCCCCTCTCCAGCTCCACGTGCGGGGCCTCCACCTCCACGGGCTCTGCTGGCAGCACCGTCACCTTCGCTCCTGTTTGATGGACCAACTGGTGGAGATTGACCTGTTGCAACTCCTTTGTCAGTTGCTCCAGTTCTCGTTCCCTGTCCTGCCAAGAGAGAGAAAACATCTGCTGAGCAGCAGCAAGCATGAAGCAGCATTTCAAGACTGTTTGCAATTGGGAAACTAAGGCTTCTCCTTTTGATGAAAAAGCCTCCGGTTTTTAAATGCAAATGCAGATGGAAAAGTTGAAAGGTATTTTACTCTTGTAATTCAGAAAGCAAATCAACGCTCACTATTACTTCTTAGGGGTTACTACTGATATGTTTCTATTGCTTCTTGGATGACTAGCAGATCACCTATCCTGTCATCTGAGAAAAATTTTGGAACAACGTATGTGAGCAATTAAAGGTAATAGAGAGCAATGTGAAAAAATACATCAGTCTGCTACCAAATCTTCGTTCTGCCAGAAGTGCCGAGCATGACCTGGAGAGCTCCTTTAGTTTTCCTGTTCCTAAAATGAGAATAATTCCCTTCTCTTCTTGTTCTTTCCATCTTCTATTTAGAGCATCAATTTTTATGGACAGAACTCTCTTACTCTGCAAGAGTACTGTCTTTTGTACAATGAGGCCAAGTCGTGGCTGGTTCCCCACCCATAAGCACAGAAGATGACCATTTCGGATCTCGCTCAAGGCTCTGTAGTTCTGGCACGATATGCAAAACCTACAGCTCCAATAGATTACGACAGCCTTAGACTATAATTATTTTTTTTCCCATATGCAGATTCAGCTTTGCTAGCAGAGAGCTACATGTGGTACTCTTCCACAGCCAGGATGGGTCTCACCTGTTGGCCACGTTTTCCTGTTCCTAAAATGAGAATAATTCCCTTCTCTTCTTGTTCTTTCCATCTTCTATTTAGAGCATCAATTTTTCTCTTTGACACGTGCCACAAATGCCTGAGGTGTACAGAAAATAAAATCCTGAACAGACAGGGAAAGGGAATGCTATTCTTTAAAACAAAAGCCCCGTAAGCTGACAGTTATTTTAGCTCTACATCCATCTGTCCAAGTGCTGCTTTTGGACTTCCTTTTGAATTCATCTATGTTGGTGGCAGACAAGCCTAGCAAGAATCAGAAGTTTAGCTGCAGAAAAGGCTACCGTGGTGCAAATTTCCCTGAAATTTAACAGTATGAAGCTCTGAGCTGCCAAGATCTAGGACCTAAATCCTCACCATAGCTAACAGGGGTTTGAAGACTAGCACTTTGAAAGGCATTACGCAGGGAAAGGATGCCAGATGCCAGGCAGCGTGTCTGTGCATTGCCTACTGCTACATCTTCATTTTGGCAAGAGATGGAGGTTGGGTCAACCTTCTTTTCCCTAATTATCTTGCGTAAGCAGAATTATACAAGAACTCAGACAAGGATCGAAGGCAAATAGTTTGGCGGATCCATTTTAGGAAGAGTCCTCAACAGTGCAGCCCTTCTTGATTTTAAACTTGCAGTAAGGTCGCAGTTGAGGCTGAATTCAACAGTCAGTAAGAAAATTAACACATATGATCTGATATCTAAATTCGGACCTTTTAAATGCCAATTGCTTTGTCACTAATCTCTGTGTTTGACCTGTTCAGTCAACGCATATCACGTGGTTGGGCTCAGCTTTCTGCGCTAGACTTGTGTTTCCCTTCACTGGCTATCAACTTTTGGAAAAACTGGATTGAGACACAGAAACCAGGCCACCTTCAGATTTTAAAACAATTATACAGAAAAATTCTTCCATTGTTTTGAGGCCTATTAGACTCTACAACTGAGGACTTGGTCACAGGAACTTCTCAAGCCACTTACTGCAATGTTAATTCTGCAGCAACTGAATTCAGTTGTTTTTTAAAAAAAGAGAATCACTGAAATACACAGGTTAGCAGAACTAACATCATAAACAATTTGCTCTTGTCATTTCTCAACTTCCACAGGAAATAAGGTAAAAACTTGAAATATCACCCCAAATCCAACTGGTTTAAGCTCTTAAATTTATTATCTAATTGTGAAACGTCAGTGAGACCTTTTACCTGAAGAAGGGTGGCATTTTGGATTTTTTTTGGGTTTGGTTAGGTTTTCTGCATTTAAAGTCTTTCTCTAGAAACAGGGCCAGCAGAGTGCTGCATCAAGTGAACATATTGTTGGGAACTAATTTTATTGAGGTGGCTAGAGAAAAGGAAAGAGAAAAGGTAGGACAAATTACTAGAAATTTCTCACATGCCATTAAAAAATGCCACCTTCCTGTTCTTACCACTTGAAATCTAGTAAACCAAAATTTTCTTTCCTTCCTTACTGAAAGGTCTATAAAAACACCCACGCTCAACTCTTCTCGTTTCAAATCAGCAGTTCTATCAATTAACTTTCAGCATGAAAGAAAATATTTCTCTATTTCCTCCCCCCCAAACTGTACAATACAAAGCTGAGTTTATTTTCTCCTGTATTTCCAGATTAGTGCACTTTTAGGTAGAACAAGCTTGGGAGATGTGAATTTAACGGAAACTTTCCTGAGAAAGTGAAACCCAGCCTATGAAAAAAAAAAAGCGAGACAGATTTTGAACTCAATCATAGTCTCACTGCGTGTTGCACAGGATAGGTAAAGTATACAAAGACAGCCTGATGCTTTCTGTCAGCGCAAATCCTTAAGCACGGTGTGTTTGGAAACTTAGGACAGGTAAATATGGCCAAAGCTGCTTAGAGGTTTCATCCATTTTGCTTTGGATAAAGATACTACATTTTTTTTCCCTTCTCATGTAGAAAAACCAGCTTATATTGACATGGTTCTAGGTGCTCAGGGTGCAAAATGCCTTTACGTATCCACAGCAGAATCATCTCACTGCAGGGGCAGCACCGTGGAACATCACAGCCACGGTTCCCAGGTACGCAGCCAGAATCGCAGCTCAGACTGATGTGTGGTGCTTCACTCCTATCTCATGTGGCACATTAAAACCCTGGAAGCCACAATCTTTCCTTCACCTCATCCAGCTAGCAGCTGCATTTCCATTCATATTTATTCTTTCACGCTCTACCAAGTCTCAAGCGATATCATTAACTGTAGCAAGGAGCCAGAGACTGGATTCTCTTTTGACACGTGCCACAAATGCCTGAGCTGTACAGAAAATAAAATCCTGAACAGACAGGGAAAGGGAATGCTATTCTTTAAAACAAAAGCCCCGTAAGCTGACAGTTATTTTAGCTCTACATCCATCTGTCCAAGTGCTGCTTTTGGACTTCCTTTTGAATTCATCTATGTTGGTGGCAGACAAGCCTAGCAAGAATCAGAAGTTTAGCTGCAGAAAAGGCTACCGTGGTGCAAATTTCCCTGAAATTTAACAGTATGAAGCTCTGAGCTGCCAAGATCTAGGACCTAAATCCTCACCATATCCAACAGGGGTTTGAAGACTAGCACTTTGAAAGGCATTAGGCCAAGAGCACTATGGTCCTGTTTAGCACCCAGCAGTACCTCAATCCCCCCTCTAGCCCTAAATGTGCTACTGTTCAAGCAAGGAGACATTATTTGGCTGAGGTGTAAAAGAGCCCAGACCCAGTAGCACAGCAGCACCTCACTGGAGCTAGCGAGGACTCCCTCTCAGAGGGGAGGTGGCCAGATGCATTGCCACTGGGGCAGCCATATCGCCCTCAGCTAGTTGAGCTGAGATCAGCTCTGGTGTTTCTCTATCGTGGACCACTGCACGGTGAAGATACGGTTCGAGCGATTTCTCAGAGGTCACCAGGCAGTCAGGGAATGGCAGCAAACCAAAGCTGTAACTGACGGGAAGGAAACTGAGGCAGCATGTAAATAAATGGAAGGTGGCGTGGCCTCCGGCTGTAACCCTGCAGGCCACCCAGGCCTTGGCAATGGCCAGGAGCACACCCACCACAATGTCTGACCGTTTATCTTGAGACAAAGAACTAACTACTGGTTTTCTTTTCAGACTCTTTGAATGAGTAAAATACACACAGGTGAAATACAAATTGTCTGCCCTTCAAAACAAAATATCCTAAAGACACTTTGAAAAAATGAAAGCAACACTTTTACCCAAATGCACTGTGGAAACTTTCTTGTGTTTTCTTTCACGTGATCCAAATTTGTTTAAGAAAAATTCATTACAGTCAGGTCTTTGACTTTTTTTTAGCTATGGATAAAAAGACATTCTTACCTGTAACCGTTTGGTAGCTTGGCCCAAAGACCTTTCCACAGCTTTAACGCCATTTTCCAGTCTCAGACTCTGCTGGCCCTGAATATCTATTTCAGCCTTCACCTTCTCGATCTTTTCCTTGACCTCTTCTTCATTCACTTGGGACTCTTGAACTTCCCGCTGCAACTTCTCTGCTTCAAGGCGGCTCTCCACGTTGTGGATCTGAGACAGACAGTCCTTCAGCTTGCTCTCCCACTCCAAGATCCTCTGCCTCATCTCCTGCAGCTGCTCCTTCAGCTGTTTTTCCTTCTCCTGTTCCATCTGCAGCTCGTTTTCCCAGAACTCTTCCTCTTCAATCTCCACTTGGTTCCTTTTGATCTTCTGCTCTAGCTTGAGGATCTCTTCTTCCAGGCTGGAGTTACACTTTCGTTCCCAGTAGCGGATCTCAGCCTCGTTGGACTCCAGCTGTTTCTCAATGCACTGAAGTTTCTCCGTCTGGAGGTGGATCAATTTCTTCAGCTCATCCGCCGTTGTTTTACAGTTGTTGCGCACCTTTTGCTTGCACTCGGATTCTTTGCTTTTCCTGAAGATGTCCCTTAACCATTTGGCCCCCCCGGAGAAGCTGAGGGATCTCCTTTTCGGCTCCCTCCTCTTCATGGATTTGTCACCGGGAGGCCTCAGCCTGGCCAGGGGAGGCAAGCTTTGCCGGTGCAGAGTCCTCTCGAGGATGTGAGCCACGCTGTCCGAAGTGGGCCGCTCGCTCCGGGCAGGCCCGGTGCGGTGCAGGATGAGCTGCACGTCGCTGGCGTGCCGTCCCCACTTGTTCAGCGACACGATGGGGTTTTCGTGCGGCGCCAGGGGCCGCCCCGTGTCCCGCCATTTCTCGATCAGCGTGTACCTGCCGGTGCGACCTGCAAGGCAAGCGCAGCGCTCAGCGGGCGGCCGCAAACTTGTCACAGCTTCTATTAATACAGGAACATTTCTCAAAAGAATCTTTTATTTTAAAAGTTAGTAAAAGATCAAGAAAGGAAATATATGGGCTCAAGAGCGCTGATGCTGATGCACAGGGTGCAACTCGCTGTCATGAGTGGCTTGAACCCGGCTCTAATGCCACCAGTTATCGTTGACCCATGAGACATTAAGGACCCAACTCCAGCCAGTATCTTGGACCAGCCACTGCTCTGCTGCACTGCCAGACAGCAAGCTCTGGACCTGAATGTGCCCAACTGCTGTCATCTTAGTTTGGGATTGATGTCATTTGGTAATTTAAACACAGATTCCACTACAATGAATGGTGATCAAACTAATGAAATATAGAGCAAGGTAGCTGAACTTTTTTTTTTTAGACTCGCAAGAGGTGGACTTTTAAATTAGACTCCATGAAGCTAGCAGGACCCATACAACTCTTATTCACTTTAAGCTTCTCTACAGGCTTTCATATTTGCAGCTGACACAGTAGACATGAGTGACTCTTTCTGCTGCCAAAAGTACAGATGAAAATTTGAAGGAAAGCAGCAGTAGCAGTGTTTCTCATGCAGAGAACACTTCTGGCAGGACTGTAACTTGAGAATTTATCAATACTATTTTTCAGGACAGAAATGATTAATCCCTTTCCTCCCTCCCAAAAGTTCATCAACCTCTACTTGCAAAGCATTTCAGGGACAGACACTACATTTTTTGTATGCGCGTAGCACTATCCCACCATGTAAAAATGTATCTGTGCCTTTATCATTCCAATCAGGCTACACAAGTTTATTTCAAGCATGAAGTAAGATCCAGCTTTTCATGAAGTGTCTCCCATGCTTCACGGCCAGGACCTGCAGCAGTGAGTCAGTGCAAGTAGGTGAGTCGTTGCCCTGGTCTCACGTTATTTCTGGGAAGGGTGGCCAGATGAGCCATCGTAAACATGGGGACACCTCTCCCTCCCTAGGGAAGAGGCCAGGGTGGGCAAGAGCCTGTCTGTGTGCAGGTTTCCATGGAGGTCAAAGCCAGGTATGCCAACACACGCTCAAGCCAAGCCCAGACTGTCCAGAGCTCTGGGGGCACTGACAAATACACCTCCTCCCCAGCCTGGACACAGCTTTCTGACCCACTCGCTTTCCCGGAGATCACCCTCCAGCGCTCGGCAACTGGATGCTGTCTTCCTTAACAAGGCCGTATAAAGAAAAATAACTGTACATGGGTAAAATCTAGTGAGAACTCTTAACATGTGGGACACGTGGGAGAAAACGCTCTGTCCTACCAAAGGGGCGCCAGCATTAACTCCTGAATCTTTAACAGCTCTGATTTTTTTTTTTAGACTCGCAAGAGGTGGACTTTTAAATTAGACTCCATGAAGCTAGCAGGACCCATACAACTCTTATTCACTTTAAGCTTCTCTACAGGCTTTCATATTTGCAGCTGACACAGTAGACATGAGTGACTCTTTCTGCTGCCAAAAGTACAGATGAAAATTTGAAGGAAAGCAGCAGTAGCAGTGTTTCTCATGCAGAGAACACTTCTGGCAGGACTGTAACTTGAGAATTTATCAATACTATTTTTCAGGACAGAAATGATTAATCCCTTTCCTCCCTCCCAAAAGTTCATCAACCTCTACTTGCAAAGCATTTCAGGGACAGACACTACATTTTTTGTATGCGCGTAGCACTATCCCACCATGTAAAAATGTATCTGTGCCTTTATCATTCCAATCAGGCTACACAAGTTTATTTCAAGCATGAAGTAAGATCCAGCTTTTCATGAAGTGTCTCCCATGCTTCACGGCCAGGACCTGCAGCAGTGAGTCAGTGCAAGTAGGTGAGTCGTTGCCCTGGTCTCACGTTATTTCTGGGAAGGGTGGCCAGATGAGCCATCGTAAACATGGGGACACCTCTCCCTCCCTAGGGAAGAGGCCAGGGTGGGCAAGAGCCTGTCTGTGTGCAGGTTTCCATGGAGGTCAAAGCCAGGTATGCCAACACACGCTCAAGCCAAGCCCAGACTGTCCAGAGCTCTGGGGGCACTGACAAATACACCTCCTCCCCAGCCTGGACACAGCTTTCTGACCCACTCGCTTTCCCGGAGATCACCCTCCAGCGCTCGGCAACTGGATGCTGTCTTCCTTAACAAGGCCGTATAAAGAAAAATAACTGTACATGGGTAAAATCTAGTGAGAACTCTTAACATGTGGGACACGTGGGAGAAAACGCTCTGTCCTACCAAAGGGGCGCCAGCATTAACTCCTGAATCTTTAACAGCTCTGATAGAAAAGTAATCGCTGGCAATTTTAATAAACCCACTATGATTTGAACTCACTACCTTTGAAATATGAATCTTCCATTTCATTCATTATGGGATATTTCAGTTGACATCTGTAGCAATTTAAAACAATACCATTCTAGCTACCTGAGAACTCATTAAACACCCAAGAAAAATTAAAGAGTAAAAAGGGATTTAAAATGGAGTTTGCTCAGATGCTTAACTCATGCCATGTCATGCACACACTTGTACGCACACCACAGGAAACAATGAAAGTCAGAGTAGGGGTCCAGTCCCAGTAAAACGTGCCCACAGATATGGAAAGGCTCAGTCTAGTGACAGCGAGGGCAGCCCGCTTAGCTCAGGAGGTACAGCTGTGCTCAATGGGATGACGTGTCCTCCTCAGGACTGAAGTCTTAGTTCATTACTACTATCCTTTCACTTGAAAAAAGGGCATACAAAAGTTTATCGTGGTCTGACAAAACAAAGCACTTATTGTCATTTCATCCTTTCAACTGCCTTTTGTCCAAGCACCCTGAGGTACCACACTTATTTTAGACCCATTTCCTAAATAGGTAAAACCACGTGGAGGAGCAGTTCAGCCGGGGTCAAGCAGCAAGACGTGGCAAAGCAGATAAAGCAGCCCAGGTCTCTGCTGCATGTGCCACCACTGCACTAGACGTACCATGTCATTAGAAGTGGCAACAAACCATCCCACCCAACCCCCAGACCTTTCAGCAAGGTACTGTCATAGAATCATAGAATCATTCAGGTTGGAAGAGACCCTTGGGATCATCGAGTCCAACCATCTACCCTACTCTACAAAGTCCTCCCCTACACCATGTCCCTCAGTACCCCATCTAAACGTCCCTTAAACACATCCAGGGACGGTGACTCAACCACCTCCCTGTCACCAGATTTCTGAACCATAAAGTTGATATGATCACACCACGGGATCGCCACAGCGAGCAGCTTTCTTATTTTCTTATGCTCTTATTATCCCTCTTAACGTTGCTATTTGAAGCAGCAGAGAATGGAATTTTGGGGTCAAAAATAACACAAGTTTTAAGTGATTCTTAGCAGTAAACTACATGATTAATTCAATGTTTAAAAACTTCATTTTGTACACAACAAATGTTCCCGTTTTCTAATCCTCTTCAGACTCAGTGCTATAATTTAATTCAACCTCCGACTCTTTCTCTCTCTCGCTGTCTGACAGCCAGCCCTGGCACTTGCTTTAGCAGAAATTATTTGGAGGAAGGGACAACACAAGAAGAGACATCAATAAAGTGGTGTGATTTTTCCAGATACAACTTTGGCTGAGTCTTACAATGCTGTAACACATGTTTGAAGCGGCGTGGACAAATCTGTCCTTTATTAACATAACTACACCCAATTGATCTTTGAGGAAAAATACTCAACTGCAATAAAAAAAAAAAATCAACAGCTGCATTTGTTTAATTTTAAAGAGAGACAGCTGTATTTCTTGTTCACTGAAGTGTTGCTCATAGCCTCCTGATACTGCACTACAGTCAGAAAACCAAAACCCACAGCACTATTTCAAGCAAGTCTGCCATTTAAAATATTTGCCACAGAAAATTAGAAAAAGGCAGAAACCAAAAATGCACTTTGGTAAGAAATTCAAGCTTTGCTTCTGTAGGCTAAAATATTCTTTTTCTAGGAAACAAACATGTCACTCCGAGACACGCTCTAATTTCCTGAGAGAAAAGAAATCACAACAAATGCAGTAAAAAACCCTCAAGAGGCTAGAAGTACAAGAAGAACATTTCAGAAGAAATAGAGCAAGTACATTTGCAACTGCACCATTCATCACCATGTTCCTTTGGAAGGTTTTTATTTTTTAGATTTCAATGGAAAACACTCAGTAAAAGCCAATTTCTTTAAAAAAATCTCTAGTTACTGAACTACATTTGCCTAAACTATCAGCTAACGTGATTAGCTCACTTTCTTTGTAGGATACCATCTGGTTTTCCCCTCATGATTTTTTGAGTGGAGCCACGACGCTCACACACACTCCACTATAAATCTATATGGAGAGGTGGGCCCGTGTGAACCTCACGAAGTTCAACCAAGCCAAGTTCAAAGTCCTGCACCTGGGTCATGGCAATCCCAGGCACAAATCCAGGTTGGGCGGAGAACGGCCGGAGAGCAGCCCTGAGGAGAAGGCCTCGGGGGTGCTGGTTGATGAGAAGCTCCACACGAGCCTGCAATGTGGCTCACAGCCAGAAAGCCAACCCCATCCTGGGCCGCATCAAAAGAAACGTGGCCAGCAGGGCAAGGGAGGTGATTCTGCCCCTCTGCTCTGCTCTGGTGAGACCCCACCTGGAGTACTGTCTCCAGCTCTGGAGTCCTCAGCACAGGAAGGACAGGGATCTGTTGGAATGGGTCCAGCGGAGGGCCATGAAGATGAACAGAGGGATGGAGCACCTCTGCTGTGAGGACAGGCTGAGAGAGCTGGGGGTGTTCAGCCTGGAGAAGGCTCTGGGGGACACCTCACAATGGCCTTGCAGAACCTGAAGGGGGCTACAGGATAGATGGGGAGGGACTTTTTATCAGGGAGTGAAGAGATAGGACGAGGGGTAACCGTTTCAAACTGAAATATACGTTTAGATTAGATATTAGGAATTATTAGATATTCCTGTGAGGGTGGTGAGGCACTGGAACAGGCTGCCCAGAGAAGCTGTGGCTGCCCCATCCCTGGAGGGGTTCAAGGCCAGGCTGGATGGGGCTTGGAGCAACCTGGGCTGGTGGGAGGAGTCCCTGCCCAGGGCAGGGGGTTGGAACTGGATGATCTCTAAGGTCCCTTCCAACTCTGACCATTCTGTGATTCTATGATATACCATTTTGCAAAAAAGCCAGCATTAACTCCTGAATCTTTAACAGCTCTGATAGAAAAGTAATCGCTGGCAATTTTAATAAACCCACTATGATTTGAACTCACTACCTTTGAAATATGAATCTTCCATTTCATTCATTATGGGATATTTCAGTTGACATCTGTAGCAATTTAAAACAATACCATTCTAGCTACCTGAGAACTCATTAAACACCCAAGAAAAATTAAAGAGTAAAAAGGGATTTAAAATGGAGTTTGCTCAGATGCTTAACTCAGGCCATGTCATGCACACACTTGTACGCACACCACAGGAAACAATGAAAGTCAGAGTAGGGGTCCAGTCCCAGTAAAACGTGCCCACAGATATGGAAAGGCTCAGTCTAGTGACAGCGAGGGCAGCCCGCTTAGCTCAGGAGGTACAGCTGTGCTCAATGGGATGACGTGTCCTCCTCAGGACTGAAGTCTTAGTTCATTACTACTATCCTTTCACTTGAAAAAAGGGCATACAAAAGTTTATCGTGGTCTGACAAAACAAAGCACTTATTGTCATTTCATCCTTTCAACTGCCTTTTGTCCAAGCACCCTGAGGTACCGCACTTATTTTAGACCCATTTCCTAAATAGGTAAAACCACGTGGAGGAGCAGTTCAGCCGGGGTCAAGCAGCAAGACGTGGCAAAGCAGATAAAGCAGCACAGGTCTCTGCTGCACGTGCCACCGCAAGGGAAGTGACAGAACTCTACTGCCAAAAGATCAGACAACACTTTGGGTATGGGACAGAACCTCCTTCTACAAAGGGGCACAGTCCAGCAGGACTTGCTACTTCTGGTTGGCTAAAATAGCCCTAGAGCATAAGTTCCTGTCTTTGCATTTAAAAAAAAAGAAGAAAAAAAAAAAGGAATACTTTTGTACACCAAAGAAAGTTATTACTGAATTTCCACAACATGAGGGAAGAGATGGAAAGTAAACAGATGGAAAGCTTTTTGTTGCTCTTATCACAGCTGGGGATCAGGAGACACAGCCCTGCATGCCATCAAGTGACAAGAAAAGAAATTTCTTGAAACACAAGAAATTCCATTTAAACATAAGGAAAAAAGAAAGGGTGCAAGGGTGACTGAACGCCAGAACAGGTGGCCCAGCACCGTAGTGGAGTCTCCACGCTTGGCCATACTCAAAACCCAACTGCGCATGGTCCTGAGCCACCTGCTCTGGCTGCCCCTGCTTTGAGCAGCAGAGCTGGGCTAGATGATCTTCAGAGGTGCCTTTCGACCACAACCCATTCAATAATAGTTTCGATTTTCCTATTTTCGAAATACATTGTAAAGCTTTACTTTTCATATCCCTAGAATAGAGGCAGCTTCAGTTTGTCTATGAGAAGCTTCTTGAACTACGGGTGCCTTAATCCAAGCGGCTTTGGCTTGTGCTTTCTTCAGCACATACAGCTGTAAAAGAAGTTAATTTGCAGATATTCCAGGCCCTGCACTTCAATACAAATTCTACACCTATTGCAGTTCATCTTTCAGGCGCAGGGACATATAGGAAGAGTGTGTGTGATTTTTTAAAGTCAAGGACCTAGCCATAAACTGTAAGACATGCTAAAGCAAAAGGATCATCTCAAAAACTTTTCAGACAGACCAACAGACAGACAAAATAATACCGGGTCCTGCTGAGCTATGCGACTGCTGAAGGAGCCAGACTGCAAAGTGGAAAATAAAATCAGAGCCAACCAAAGAAGCAAGCCAACTAAGACTGGCTACTTTCCACCACCAAATGTCAAATGAGAGCTAGAGGGATACATTTTAATAGATACCCATTCAAATTGGAGGGACAAATATTCCTGGTAAGCTGGTACCTGTAGCCAAATCAAAGGAGCAGACATATGGTTGCTGATGAATGGCCCAACAGGAGGGTTGGGAAAGCCCTACCTGCCAAAGACATGCAAGTGTAATTTATGTGGTGTTTAGTATTGTCCTAGCAGCCCCAGTGAGTGAGAAACTGAAATGCAATTACTCTAGGTGTTTTCTACAGGGGGTATTTGCCTCAGGAAGGAGTTCCCAAAGGATTATCTTAACTTGGCTCCAGCTGGAACTGAAATGTGTCTCTGCGGGGAACCAGAGCTTCGTGCTGCAGACGAGCTGCAGAAACGGTTCCGAAAAGGAAACAAAAATGGTACAGGTTACAGCAAAGGAAGTCTGCTGAGTTGACAAAAACCGCGTGTGTTTCCAAGAATGATGGGAGTCTTTTCAGAGTTCAGGCTAATAATTGAAAAAATAGAAAAAACAAATATAACACACAGATAACACAGGAGAACATTAAATTATTGTCTAGAACTGGAAGTCTGACATTTTTTCTTTTGTCGGAGAAGGCAAAGGAATCAGGATGAAAGAGATCTTGAAAGCAAAGTAAAGAACAGGAGTCTATCACAACCAGCTTGTTTATTTTTCCTAAATACGTAACACTCCTTAATCATTACTAGGAAATAATCATGCTCACATGATTGTGACTTAAAACAACCCTACACACAGAAAATGAGATATGGAAGCAAGCAATTTATAAACCAATTAGCACTAAATGAAAAGCTTGCAACTAACACAAACAGTAAAAGCACACTTAACAGTTAACCATCGACTACAAGATTTTAGAGACGTACTGACTTTCTACAATTTTTAAATGAAACTTCAAAAGGTAGCTGCTGTGTACAGATAGAGTATACACGTGCTAGCGTTGTGTTCAATTCCCTTAAGATGTAAAAGAAAGAAGTGCTGGTCTTCCACTCCATCAGATGAAAGTATACGGAAATGACATTCAGAAGGACACATTTAAAGAAACAAACATCACAAATTCAGAGAAGTTGACTTCATACTTACAGGCAGAATATCTAGTTGACATTCATGGCCCTAAGTTGTTCTTTATTACAAAATTATTATTTTGCAGTCAAATCAGACTGCTAATACAATCCTGCAAGGTTGTTGGAATACTGAAATATGCAAAAGATAGCCCTTCAATTAAGAATTTAATTTTAGGTAAGACATAGGTTTTGATGCCCAAATTTAAACAGCATGTAAAGCCAATTCCAAAATTTTAACAAAGAATAAGATTCAGCATAGTAACCACTGAAGGCATGAAGTTGAGGCTTATTCAGGATGTTCTCATCTGAGAAAGATCTGACAAAGTTGAAAGAATGCTCTTTCCTGTAGTGCAGCCTGAAAGACTGTATTTTTTCCCCACTAAACTGTTCAGGAAACAGCCAACACTGAACAGACTTCAGGTTACCCTTTCATCAGTACTGAGTTACGTGGCGTGCAGGAGTGAGAGGAAAACTCAAAGGATCTATTCCATTGATCTAGTGCTACGCCCAGCAGAGCTGGGGATGTGTATCATTTCAATGAACATCATTAGCTTGTGAAAGCCAACCAATTATTCTGCACTGCTTTTATATTTCTTTGTGCTCCAAACACTGACAATTTGCCATCTTCTTTAGTCCAGTCTGTATTTACAATGACAAAAGGCAGCATGTTATTATTTAGAGAATAAATTTGTGCTGAATGAAAGGTCATAGATTTCAAAGTGTTTCTTTTCTTTCTTTTTAATCCCTCTCTGGCAGGTTAAAAATCACGTTTACACGGCAAGTTTGTCCCACTGTGCATTGGATGTTTATGCTCTACTGACATGGAGTGCAACCCCACCTCCCCTTGGTTTAGCTTCATAAAAAAAGGTTCCAGTTCCCAGAGACCCGTCTGACAGAGTTACTCACCAATAGCCTGAGCAAGGGCTATCACAACTTCCTGGCACGTTGTGACTTCGGTGACCCCGCAGACAATTCTCTGGACTCCATCTACCCATACTTTGAGCTCCATGGTTCACCAAGTTATCCAAGAGCCACAAATGCGAGTCTCTCAAGTCACACTTGCAGCTCTATCAGAGACAACGCAGCAGACTCCACTCAGCAGCTAGAAGAGAGAAAAAGGCTGGTGTTTATAGCGGGGCATTACTAATTTTAAAAGTTAACAAATTGACCTTATCATATATTGGGTAGAAGAGACAACACAGCCTCCTTTCTTTAAAAATATTAACAGGCATCAAACATCCCTTGCTCCGGCAACGTCTACTCATTCTCTAGACATACCAGAAGTTTCATCACAGTTTATTTCCTAAAATATTAAAAGTTATTACAAAAAGAGCACCACGAGAAACAGCATTAAACAAATCGCATTAAATCCATCTGTAGTAAACTCAGAACAGGTTCCAGAAACAGGTGCCCCTCTTCCTTTATCTACTGGCGGGATGAGTCAAGGGACTGGGTATAGAAGCTTTCGGTGCTTGTTCAGTAATTCCTAGCAGGTCGTGGCACAGCAAAACCAAGGGGGAGACAGTTTTAATTACAGCCATCCACGAGATCCAGCCTTGCTCTCCGTACAGAAGCAGCCGAAGGTTCCTGGTCCCAACAAACCTGTGGGTTTAGTACCAAAGCTGAAAAACCCAGAAAGGAAAGCAAGCAGATGGACTGGTTCTTTCTTTTTCCAAAACAAGGAGAAAGAAAAGGTAAAGTGTCGTAGAGGGCGGTTTGACCCCTGCCAACACTCTGATGGTTCTGTAAGGAAAGACACTTTGGCTAAAGTGTTATCCTAGGGTTCTCCATAGGCACTGCAATAATACTAACCCAAAAAACCAGCCGTGCTATTTGGGCTAGCCAGTTCCCGCTTTTGAGTTGAAATAACACCAAAGTCACATCAGCTGCTCCCAATTTCCTTTTAAAAAAGAAAATTCCCCAAGTTTGTAAATGGAAAAAGTCTTCAGAGAGTTGCTTTCTTTTCTGAAACAAAAAAAAATCCCGTGAGTCCAAAAGTCTGCTTCTGCAATCAAATGCCAGAAAAACTTCGCAGCACAGAACTAAAGTTAGAAACCTAGGAAGTTAGGCTAGGACTTAGCCGTTTGCCCTCTGCTGTCTTGTTACCAACAGTCAAGCTGCTCAAGGTTTATCTAGTGTTAACTTCCAGATTAATTACTGATCTGAATTCTAGTGGTTTTGCTATGAGCTGAGATCTTCCAGGACCTGCTTTTCTTCTGCATCAACAGCTCCACTGGTATCACGGCTCACAAAAGTTCATCTCTACCTACAACTGCTGAGATGCTGAATTTCAAAAATTTTCAAATAACAACTCCAAGAAGAATTGGCTTAAAAATAATTAAAAAAAATAAGCACCCCCAAATAAAAAACAAACCACTAATAATGGTGATTTTCTTAAAAAAAGCCCAAACAACAACAAAACAAACAAGCAACAACCCTAGGGCTGGGTTATTTAAGCAGATAGAGGAAAAATAAACCATGATAATACGATAAAGGAAGCTCATGTCTTCAGGTAATCCAATATGGATAAAGCGATAAAACTAAACTATTCTTTATGAATTAAGTACCAGGAAAATGGGTAATACAGGAATAGAGTAAAAGAAATCTGAAAGCTGTTTAGAGGAGATTACTAAAGGCCAGCAGGGCATGGTTACACAAGAAACATGACATCTGATGATGCTGATGGATTTAACGGAACTGCACACAGAGGCAGAAACGGTGCAGGAAAAAACTACACAAATACTTAGTACAATTGCTGTTTACAGTCTAATCAGGGCTGCTTTCTCCCAATGAAGCCAACATTTTGTTCTGTATGAAAAAGATGTACTAGTGCAGCCCTCCAGCCAGAGCGGGAAGATGATTTCCCTTCCACCACCAAACACTTCATCCAGCGTCTGCCAAGTACCAAGGTGTGACCCAGGAGACGGGCTGACCTGTGCCTGAGGAGCGGTGGCCACCAGCAGCAGCACAGCTCAGGGGCTGCTGGAGCCAGAGGGGTCACACCACACCGACAGGACAAGCCCATCTGGGGTAAGGTCCGACCGGCACACGGCCCAACCTCCTGTCCAGGTGCACCCCTTTAGAAACGCAAAGAAACAGGAATACGTCCAAATGGAGAAGTAAAACCAGAGTTCAAATACACTTTCGTAACTCTTTTTTTCATAACTTTTCATAACTTTTTTGTTGTTGTTGTTGTTTTTCATCAACAAAAAAGTGACAGCTTTTAAGAATACCAGTGTACACAGAAGTACAGTCTTTTAAGGGATTAATAAGCACCTGCAACCCCAAAGAGTCACAGAGCTTCAAGAAACATTTTCCCACATAAAGTGACACACTTCAAAGAAAACTAGTATCTGCTTAAGTATTAACAGTGTACAAATAGAGAAACACTTCAGCCAGGTAACACCGTTTTAATGTACCAATAAACTAAGCAGAAGAAAGCTTTTTACTAGCTTTTAATGTAACAGTGACTGAGAAAACACCTAACAGGCCCCACCAGTGACCTCCGTTGTTCATTCCTGGGCCAGCTCTCTTCACAAATAAACAGACCTCACATTCCAAGCACAGCTGTAAGGAACTTTATTAATTAACTTAATATCTTGCTGAGAGTTGAACAGTTCAGATTTACTAGCACAAAAAAAGTCCTCTCTCCATGTGACAACGCACACGTCAGCAAAGCATCCAGCAGCTCTAATTGTTTTTCTGTCAACATCCAAAGTATTATCTCAATTTAGCAAGCCAGCAAGTACATCAACACCCCCTCCCACCCCGGTCAGCACACAACGTACAGTCTTGCATTGAGTGCAGATCAGGGTTGGTCATTTGTTTTCCTACCGTCCATCTTTAACACACACACACACACAAAAAAAAAAGACTGAAGAGAGGCATCATTTAATAACGAAGCGTGTGCTGACACTTCCAATTTTGAAAACAACATCCACCAAAGCGGCAAATGATCCCAACAAAGTGTCTTTGAAACAGGCCGCGCTCAGGAGAAACAGTCCCATTCATTTTCTTACAGGGCAAATAGTTTTAATAGACTAAATAGCAATAGCAAAACAATCCAAGCAGCCCGCGGCGTGTGCTTCTGCCAGAGCAACCTCCGGGGCTGAGTCCCAGGGCTGCGGCCCCACAAGCCCTGATGGGATGCTGTCAGAGATCTCTCAGTCACTGAAACCAGAACACACACAGACTTCAGAAACTCCTGATCTACGTGCTGAAATCCCTGGGTCTCCTCGTAATTTCTAAGTACAGCTAATTTATAATAAGTCTAGAAAAAATTAGTTTGATTTCTAAGACTGCAGTAGCAGTTTACAGAGGAGTCTGAAAAACAGAAAATCTTTTGGCCACGTGTCTATCTCTGCTTCCAAATCATGACACCTTTTTCTTAGCTTTTGCTTTTCCTTTGTATCTATTCACTTCTCTGTTTGCTGACGGTTAACTCATGCATCCTTATTAGCTTCTTTGTCTTTCTGAGGGTCATTTTGACAGCCCCTAATACATTTTTCAACTGAAGTCTGTCCAGATGCACAGAGAGAAGACAAAATCACCCGTACCTCCCACACTGAACCAAATTCTCTCTGAAGCACTGGAAAGGGGTGGTGAGCAGGGCAAAGTAACTTAAGGTTTCACATTCCCCAGAGTTCAAAACCAGTTCACCTTACGCATAACTTCTTATTTTAACAATAATTGGGAATAGGAATGCAAAGCTAATTTACTGAGGAGAGGTACACAAGCCAAAGCACGCCTCTGAATACAGCTTCCCCCCAGTTCTTCAGGGATCAGCTCCATAGTGACAGGTACTTCTGACTGGAGCCAAGCATTAGAAACCTGACATCCCCCAGCTCCTTCCTCCCCCACCTCTCTCCCATGTGCTTTTTGTTCTCCCCTACCTTGCCTGAAGCACCTCCTCAATTAAGCTGTTTGCCATGCATTAAAAAAATTTTCCCTAGATTCTCCTTTTATCCTAACTGGCTGATGATATCTTACTGTTTCAGATATTTGTTCATTTTTTAAGTGTAAAGAAAAATTCCTTAAAATAATAATATAATTAATTCATTTTTTTATATACACACACACACGTATATGCAACATCCCCCACCTTTCCTTGAGCTACAGCTTTTTTAGCACAGAAAAGTCAGATTGGAAATCTCTCTTCTGGTGAGAACTGGCCAGAAAAAATTATTAATTTCTTTTCTTTTGGGGGTGGGGACTGAAAAAGAGGAGGCAAACAAATCATTTACACTTTTTGTCATCTCTTTTAAAGATAAATTTTATTAATGGCAACTATCAAGCGAGTGATCTCTGACTTCAGATGCTTCCTGGAGCATCTTCTTCCCTCACAATGTTTTGCTCTCAGCCCTTGCATCTCTTGATTTTTTCTTGTTCATTGTTCTAAGTCATCTTTGTCCAATATGTCATTTGTTTCCTTTTCAGACACCCAGAAACAGGCGACTGCTCTCTCCAAGGCCTCAGCACAATCTCTCTCTTCCTCTCCTGCCCCTTTTTTCCCCCCACCGGTCACCAAAAAGGCTGGAGGCTGAACTGAGTCTTTGCTGTCCCTGATGCCTTTTAAGGAGTTAGCTGAAGGCCACACAGCACACCAAGATCACCAGTGCTCTTCCTCCACCGTTAGCAGTTTGCTTCGTTAAGCTGGCTCATGGTTACAAGTAACGAACGGAAGAAACTCGGGATCCCATTTAGCAGTGATTTAACTGCAGCACAAACCAGGATTCACCAGGTTGGGAGCTGCAGTATAGGAGATGAGATAGTGAAACCGCTCAAAAGGAAGCAGTCTTCAAGAAATAAGGAGTTCAAATGTAAGCTGGGTTCCTTCTTTGAATCCCCTATCTCCTAACAAGGTCGACAACACTGTTTTGCTGCTTCAAGACATCATTGTGCTGGTCTCAGGACTACTCCCTACATTCCTGCCTTCCTCTCTTGTCACTTATCATAGCTCTGAGTAGTTGCAGGCCCCGTTTGTGGTCAGTCAGGCTACATTTGCTAGATCTTACCAAATCACGAAGGTAATAAATTGTCTGAGAGAACAGAACGAGTTGATAGGAAGGAACACCAGAACATGAAGTAGTGGCTTCAGCAACTTTAGGATGAACCAAGGTCACTCCGACCTTGCCAAGTACACCAGGAAGCTACCCAAATTAGGAAGAGTTCAGAAGTTTAACCCGAGGAAGACTCACAAGACGATCCCCCACCCTGATGAAGGCACCGGAACTCCCACCAGACGACTCCCCAAAATGGAAGACTCCGCCTATATATGAATATGCATGTAAAGATATGAATATGCATGTAAAGATGATGTAACCTACACTCAAACTTGTATAAAAAGCTGCACTGATTACTAACCGACGGAACTCTTTGTCCAGGGGGGGCCTGGAGAGTTCCCCAACGCGTTGTTAATAAATACCTCCTGCTTATGGACTTGAAAACTTAGTCTCTGAGCAGTTTCTATTTTCTGAGCAGTTTCTATTTTCTGAGACTGCAGTTTCTATTTCGCCTTTTGGGGCAAATTCGGCATCAATAGCTAGAAAGCTTCATGACCACAGACTGTGCTTAAAATTCACATACCTACACAGAAAACAAAGTTCTAACCTGCTGTCACCGATACATATCGATGGCTCAGAGCTGATGCTTTCAAAACCCATCACATTCTGTCACACCTTCTATCTTGACTCACAATTTTGAACCCACAAGGCTTGACCCAACTGGGTTCCATAACACTTTCAAATCACCACACAATGTCTGAAAGAAAACAAACCAGCATGTGAGCCAAGGAAACAGATGGCTTATTCATGTTTCTTTGTATGTGGTCACCGGTAAGAACATAGCCTTGCGTTTTTAACAGTAAGTTTCACATTCTCATATTTGAATTAATTCAACAGGAACAGCTCTGAAATTAATACTCCCCTTTCCCTAAGATTAGATATAAAAAGCATCTGAACTCCACATAGACTTGAGGTACAAAATCCAAGGGCATTTTGGAGACTGTGATAGCCTTCAAGTCAGGGAGTCCCAAGGACCTTGATTTCAGTCATACAATTTCAAAGCAGAAGTTCAAAACTTGAGTTAAGAGCATTCTATTTATGATATGGACCAGCAAACCAAAACAGGACGTAATACAATGCTTACTTTCAGCTCTTGAGACCGACAGGATTTATTTTGATACTAGTCTGAATCCAGTTCAAGCAGGCTTCATCACTAAATCCCAGCCTTGAATCTGTGTCAGGATTAGGACTGAAGCATCATCCTGTAGGTGGTTTTATACGAAGCGCTCCTTTTCCTTGCTCTGTATTCCAGCTACTAACAAACAAAATGATCAATACGAAACATCGCAATCCTACTAGAGAGGCAGGACCCAACGGACCCATCCTAGAAAGCCTCACTGCTCACCACACTTCTAGGACGGGTGGGACAGTCGGTAGCAGCACAGCAGAGGTTAAGACAGCAGCTGGCATGCATTTCATTCTATGGCAGATGAATAACCTTTTCCAGATATGTTAGCAAAAGAGACTACACTGAGTATAAATTCTGGGACACACAGCTCAAAGGAGTCATATACATTAAAGAAACATCTCATGATTCATCATCTCAAGTCAACCGGCATACATTTACTACACCAGAATTCTTCCAAAGCCCTGTAAGTATTGGTCCTTCATTAGTATGAAACATACAGTGCAGCTGAGAAAATAGCAGCCACAACTTTATTAAGAGCAGCAACATTAAGTGGAAGTCACATTTATACATCTCTAATATGGTCTAAATACTGCGTGGGAGAGAAAGAAAACTGTAAAACAAAGAGCAGAGGAACAAGCAAACTACTTCATTGTAAGAGAAACACTTATATGAAAGCTACAATACACACAGCTCACTTCAAAGTTGCCTTACACCTCGAGATGCCCCAGCTTCAAAGGAAAGAAAAGAGGCCATTCTCTCAGCTGGTTTCAAGGAAGACCAAGCCCCAACCCGTGCAACATTTCCCTGACAGTTTGCCTGCAAACACTTAAAGCCAGTGATTGAAGACAGTTGTGTGCAACTGCCAATATTGACACCAACAGCAATGAGGTCATCTGCTCTGTTTTGGCAAGAACTGGCTTAACTCTTGGTCTTGTAAGGCCAAATCTGTTCTTTACACTTCAGTCAAGCCCGTGAGCAACATTTGCTGTGCTTTGTCATTTGACTACAGCCACCCCGAGTCACAGTTGTCTCAAGTGGGACTTACTCCTCCCATTTCAAGATATAGACCAAACCCCAACATTTGCTTCCATAACATTAGAGGGAAAGTGGCACGTAGAAGGAGCCCATTTCTCCACTTCAGTGCTGACAGGTGCAAAAAATAAAATACATCTTACAACTCCAATTTAAATTGATATTTCAATTATCTAAAGTTTTAAGTCAACTAAGTGTATGGTTTGAAGCCATGGTATTACATGACTACTGAAAAGAAATCTCACTGTAATTAACTCCTGAACTCCTGAAACAGAAACCCAAGTTTCTGGGTGGGTCCTGGGGTTCCAGAGGCGGGGGTCCTAGGTGCCCAGGGGGGGTCCTAATATGGGGAACGCGATTTTCCCATCGCATTCGGATTCATTACTGCGCACGCGCAGCCGGCGGCTGCCCACACTCGCCTAATGCGCATGCAAATCAGCTCCTCGGTTCCCTTCTGCAATAAAACCAGGTAGAGAAGTGTGTGAGCCACTCAGAAACTTGGGGACCCCCCCGAATTCATGCAACATCCATCCCCGAATTCCTAGGACCCCTCCCAGTCCCCCCCCCCTTCCGAACATC